AAAAAAAAAAAAAAAAAAAAAAGGAAGATAAAGGATGGGCGCTGGGGTGGCTCAGTCGGTTAAGCCTCTGGCTTTGGCTCAGGTCATGATCTCACGGTTCGTGGGTTCAAGCCCCGCAGCGGGCTCTGTGCTGACAGCTCAGAACCTGGAGTCTGTTTCAGACTCTGTGTCTCCCTCTCTCTCTGGCCCTCCCCTGCTCACGCTGTCTCTCTCTCTCTCAGAAATAAATAAAACATTAAAAAAAAAAAAAGAAGATAAAGGATTATATTTTGAAGAAGACATCTTGTTGCCACACGTCTACCTTTCTGAGAGACACAAGAAACTCCATTCCACTCCCGAATGGACCAGCGCAAGGAGACATGGTGGACACATCTGACTTCTGATTTCTCTCTCCCTCTCTCTCAGGGGGAGAAACCATTGATTTCCTCAACAGATTTGGAGTAAATGACCATGGTACCTGTTTGTGTCCATTCCTGATCTTTTGGCCCCAGCCTGCTGTGACCTGTGGACAGCCTCCTCACCTTCCTGGGGCAAGTGACCTGTCCCTTCTGGTGGAGAAAATCCAGAAGTTCAGCCACTTAACCATGAAGAGGTCGGCAGCAGGGAGGAAACAGGAAGCCCACCTTGACCTCAGGTCCAAGCTGCTTTCTCCAATTCAAGTTTACCAAATATAAAGGAACATTTTGATCTCTGTCTGACCCTCATAAATATGTATTCAGTTGCTTATAAACTTGAAGAGAAAGGGTAATGATCATAACCCTAAAGAGCCCCCTAATATAGAAAATTATTAAGCTATAATTTGCCCACAAACAGTTTCTAAAAATATGAGATCATGAAGCTTTTTAAAGATGCTCAAAGAGAACTGCAGGTGACACTTAGCTCACAGCAAGAGCAACACTGATGGATACTGCTTCTATAATGAGAAATGGAAAAGAAATATAGAAAGAAATCTATATACTTATTTGCTTTCCAAAGCAAAAATGATGGGTAATTGAGAGATTAGGAAAGACAGAACTTATAAAGCAGAATTTAGCTATTTAACTATCCCCTATCTACTAGTTTTTGCCTTCCATCAAGTGAATCTCCACCCCTTCTTTAGTGCTTCCATTATGACAAAATCTTCTCTCTCTCTCTCTCTTTTTTTTTTTTTTTGAGAGAGAGCACGAGTAGGGGTAGAGGGATAGAAGGAGAGGGCGAGAGAGAATCTTAAGCAGTCTCCTGCCCAGTGCAAAGCTCAACATGGGGCTCAATCTCACTACGCTGCGATCATGATCTGAGTCAAAATCAAGAGATGCTAAACCGACTGAGCCACCCAGGTACCTGTCACTATGCTAAATTCTCATTTTTGCCCAACTCTTGACCTAATTAATTAATTTTTTTTAATGTTTATTATTTTTGAGAGAGAGAGAGACAGAGAGACAGAGGGCAACTGGGGGAGGGGAAGAGAGAGAGGGAGACACAGAATCCAAAGCAGGTTCCAGGCTCTGAGCTGTCAGCACAGAGCCTGACACAGGGCTTGAACCCACAAACGGTAAGATCGTGACCTGAGCTGAAGTCAGACTGAGCCACCCAGGTGCCCCTTGACCTTTTAATTTCAAGAGTTAGTCCAGATTGTTCCCTTATGTGGTAGGCAAGGCCCTACAATGGCCCCCTTCTCCTGCTTTTCTTCCCATTGTGTAATTTCCTCCCTTTGAATGCGCACTGGACCTAGTGACTTACTCATAGTAGAGTATGTCAAGAGGGATGGGGTGTCACTTCCAAGATTAGGTTATAAAAGACCATGACCTCCATCTTGCTGGCATGATCTCTCTGACTCTTCTTACTTGTTCATTCTGATGAAGTCAGCCACCATGTCGTGAGAGGTAGCCTCGAGAGACCCACGTGGTGAAGAATTGAGACTGACTGCCAACTGACAGCCAGCAGGGAACTGAAGTCCTCCATCCACCAACCCGTGAAGAACTGAATTCTGCAAATAACCATGGGAGAGGGCTTGGCGGTGAAGCTTGCCCAACAGAGCCTTCTGGTCACTGCAGCCCCAGCTAATGCCTTGATTGTAGTCTAAGACATTCTAAGCAAAGGGCCTGGCTAAGCCACAGCTGGACTCCTGACCCACAGAAACCGAGATCATAATTACTGTTTAGTCACTAAATTTGGGAGTTGTTACTCCATAATAGGTAACTCATATGACCTGTTTTTAAATCTTTTACTATTATTGTTAGCCAACTGGATCAGAGTCCTTAATTGGTGCTTACTGTTTTACATAGAAAATTCTGCTAAATAGTATTTGATTTATTATCCAATCCAATTGTCAAATAGTTGCTGAGTATCTACCAAATGCAGACGCATGCTTGGGATAACACTACTAGCATTTTTCTTGCTTCATTGATAAGTCTCTGCACTGAGTCTTTCTTTTCTTCTTCTTCTTCTTTTTTTTTTTTCTTTGTTTTATGCTTTAGTTAAGTGTCAGGAAGCAAGAGCGAGCCCACAAGTGCCCACTAAATTACAGAACCGAATAAAGATGGATAGAATACTACAAAATGCTCATCTGAATGCATGTGAAATTGACTATTTTCTAAGGAGATTAAAAGCGGATTCCATATACGCTCAGCAGCCCATATGCCAGCTGTCCTCCCGGTACCTGCTTTGACTGATGAAGTCACTGAGCGCCGTCTTCATTTTGTCTTCCGGTGCTTTCTCTGAAATCTTAATCAATTCTCTCACTTCTTCTATACTTTCTTCCTGGAAATAAACCGTAGGGGTAGCGGGATGAGGGGCAGAAGGAGACACTGTAGTAGAAACCCCGATCAGAATACCTCAGACACAATATTTTGCTGGTTTTTGTGTTTTACAAATGAAGGAAGATTTCCCTCATTTTCTTGTGCCTGAACCGGGAAATGCTGCTGCATTCCAACTTCAAAACTTGCTTTTCACTGGAATCAGTCAAAATGCAAGCCTTCTCATGCATTGCTCAAACTCATCGTTTCTATTCCAGATCATTTCTTAACAGGGAATCATTTATTTAGAGTCTACCCTGGGGGGAAACTAATGTCAGGAACTATCTAACAAAGTAGAGCAAATGAGATATAATATAAAAAACTTCAAAAGCAACATTCAGGTCAATTGATTATATGGGAATATAGTAACACTGAATAATTCTGATTTAAAGGGGATCAATTCTTATGATTATAAGGAATTGAGGCAGGAGGTGAAGTGATATAGGAGGACAGGTTGCATACAACAATGGCTATGTGCTTGTATACTTAATAATCATACTTTTCTTTTTAGACCTCAATTCAGTGGCTCTCAATGGAGGCATATGGCACCCAAAATGCAATATACATGTTATCACTGCTTTGCCAGAATTTGTAAAAATCGTATTACTCATCAAAGTCTGATGTTTGGGGATATATGTTTCCCTCTTTCCCCTTCACTATAAGAACAGGAAAATTGTGGAGTGGTTAAAATTTTAGGTATACGGTCAAGCTACCTCTGTTCAAATTCAGACTCTATCCTTATAACTAAACTAGTGCCCATATGCCCATTTTCCTATAAAGTCAGATAATAAGAGCACCCGTGTATAGCACCACCATAGAAAGGTGTGGACTTCTTCAGACAGTGCTTAGTGCTTAGTAAACATTCAGTCATGTTAGCCATGATATGCCAAGCATGTCAGGGAGCCGGCACTGAAAAAGGAATTGGAAATGAATGGTAAAGGCAGCAATGGTCTCTAGGGAAACATTCTGCTTTTTTTGTCAAGCCTTTTAGAAATAAACTAAGACTCTTTGCCTGAAAGAGAAGCAAAACCAGCCTTTCAAAGCAAGTCTGTGGCCTCTACATAATGTGACATCAGATCGCCCTCAGACTCTACCTCCCTGATGACTGGAATCCCCAACGCCAGAGGCGATGCTTTGTTTCACACAACTAGAGACAGAACTAGAAAGCAAATGAGAGAGAGAAATTTGTTTTTTCCTTAGCACAGGCTTTCATGGAATGAGAAGGTCACCTGGTGAGGCATGCGGGACAGAAAGTAGAGGGTGCCCCATGAGCTGTGTGGTGTGAGAAGAGAAATTGAGAGCAGGCACAAAGAAACCACAAAGGGCAGGCTCAAGAGCCCAAAGAAGCAGAGTTCCCAGGGGTGCTTTTCTCCCTGGGGTTAGGTGGAACAATCTGGCAGCCATTGCATATTGGCCCTGTTATAAATACTTCCCTCCAATCCTTCAAATAACTATTGGCTCCTTTCAGGTGCCAGGTATTATGCCAGATGCTACAGTACAGTAGGAAATGGTTATTGAACAAATAAACACACCAATCAATTGTAAAATATGGAGAGGCCTGAAGGTACAGCACAGGGCATTACAAGAGAAGCCTTCTGGCTTCTCTGAGGAAGTAGCTGAAGCTGAGCTGTGGAGGTTAATGGGTTACACAGTCAAAGCATGGAGGGAAAAGTAGCTCAGGCAGAGGGAACAGCATGGAGATGGCTATGAGGCATAAAGGAGCTTGATTTCTTCAAGAAACAAGAAGTCCAGTGTGATTGGAACAGGGGAGAAAGTATGTGAGAAGCAGGCCTGGAGAGGTGGGAGCACTTCACCTTGTAGGCAATTCTCCGCCATGTTAAGGGCTTAGGATTTTATAGGAGTTGAAGCCAGGATCTATCAGTTCTGTGGAAAAGTTGTCAATCTCCTGCCCTAATCTCGTGATTAGGAAAACAGCCTATCCCTAAGTCCTATAATGTTAAGAAGCAGAACAGGGATTCTAATACAGACAGTTTTATTTAAAGTCAAATTGTATTCTCATTCCCTTCAGTCCAGAAGGTAGAAACTATGTACCGCAAGCAGCAGCCACAATTTATTTGTATTTAAATTAAGGTCAAGACCCTCTACTGGGTGGATAAAAAGGACCCTTTTGCCTCAGGCTGCCCAATTTTCAAATCCATCGCCTGTGAGCATCACCTACCAGCAGGTCCGCCATTTTCTCCAGCGTGTTGGACCAGTGCAGCCTAAACGTCTGGTCTCCCCAAGAACTGATAAAGTAGACACAGGGCTTCTTGGCCTCAAAAGGCAAATAGTTGTAATTCCTGTGAAAACAAGTTTAGGTCTGGAAGTTAGTTGGCAATTGGTATTTTTCAGGCAATTCCAGGCACATGTTCATGTTTTGTATGGTCTGTGTGGGGTGGGGAAGGGGGATGACAAAACAATCAAACTACTGACTGTGTTCTAACTGGGGACAATAACAGTGAACAGATATGTGGCTACAATGGAAAGGCACTAGGAGCTACCCCATCAGACCCAGGAAAAAGCCTAGAGCTGAGCACCAGGGGGCAGGATTTATCATGCAAACCTTCTTCAAGGAGGAACTTCTGTTGCCAGTTTAGTGAGGAGAGAAAGAGAAAACATAACATTTTCATTTTAATGTCTATTAGCTATGTACTGTGTGAAAATCATTTGAGATAATAGGTATGAATGAAATTGCTAGAAAACTGTAAGAGCATAATATAATATTAATTAGGATGAAGCATGTGCTCAATCTAAACTGCAGCAACCAGACTTCCATCCATCATCCATCCATGCATCCATCTATCCATGCACCCATGCATCCAACCATGCATGCATCCATCCATCCATCCATCCATCCATCCAATATTTACTGTTTCCATGCATTGGTGCTGATAAGGCAGGTTACCCACTCGGCTAAGAAGAGATAAGAGGGATGGCCAAGTAGCCAGATGGAGAGATGTGGAGTCAAAAGAAGTGTTTGGGGGTGACAGTTGGATATGCTTAAATGCTGATGAGAATAAGACAGCTAACAGGGGGGATTGAAGACACAAAAGAAGGAACTAATTGTCAGTTTTGGCCCTGAGGAAGGAAAGGGATGGGGTAGGGCAGGTAAGGTGAGAGTAGTGTGGCAAAAAGTTGGTGGTCCTTGTCTAATGGCAGCTATAGTCGTGACTAGGTTTTCCCCAAGCCCCTGTAATTTCCCCCCAAAACAACTCGGACCACAAGAAGAAAAATGTGACAGAAATGCCAAGGCAAAGTTCTGTCAGGGTGAATGGTCAGGGAGAGATGTGTGGCCTGATAAGCATGGACAGAGTTTGGAGTCACACACTCATAGAGGTAGACAGAGGAGAGACCGAGGGCAAGAAAGCTGTTTCCATTCCCAAAAGCTAAAGAGAACTTCAGCCTGAAAGAATGGACAGTTGTCATTTTTTTTTTTTTAGCTCCCCAACCCAAATTTCTTCTGGAGACCATAAAATTAGCAAAGGTGTCCGGTGTCTGTATCTGTAGAAAATAAACCAGCAGGTGTCCATTTAGAAGAGAAGCCAAATTAATTCTTGGCTGAGACAGAGGTTATTATTATAGCAGGAGAACAAAAAAATAAATTAAAAAGTTAGAAATCAAAATGTTCTTTCATCTCTTTTAAAATTATTGCACCAAGAATCCTACAAAATACATTCTCACCCAAGTATTGTCCTTTGTTCCAAGGTTTCTATGGTTCAGATTGTTTTGTGTTAATGATGTTCAGGGCCTTTGTCTCTTTGATTCCCAGAGTTCTCCTAGTCTGACTGGGTCTGGGTCTGGGATGCTGTGGGTCTCTGGCAAACTCAGTACAGATGGAACACAGCAGATGGGAGGGCACCATGAGGGCACCATGTCGCCTGTGGGAAGAGAAGGCTGCCAGTTTGAATGGCTGCCCTGACACAAGACCAGCCTTGTGACTTTGGGCAAGGGTAGCCTTAGAGTCCTGAAGATGAGATGATAAACTGCATGAGACGTCCTGTGCTCCAGGCTCATTCCTGATCTTTAGCCTAACACCTAAATTATAGGTGAATGCATGTGCTTCCTAAAACTGAAAAGCTCAGACCAAACACAAGGAGTTATTTTAATGAAGGCAACACACAAATCGATTGTGTGACTGTGTGCATGTGCAAGCATGTGTGTGTGTACACACATATGTACGTATTTTAGACATTGGATCTTCCAATTTCGCTACTGCCACCCTGGTTTGCCACTATGTGGACAGAGCCTCAATATAATGACTGAGGAATATTTCCAAAGAGACAGAAAGGCAAGAAACTTCAGCATGATTCATTTTGGTTTCCTTGAGCCAGTTGGCCAGCACTTTGAGTGAAGTCCATCCAAGGGTGCCTTGAGATTTCTCATCTCTCAAACCATTCCCACACTGGATCTCCTGACATTCTCACCCATAGTCACCAATGGTCTAGTTCACAAGGTGGGGAGGTTTTTACTGCCTGGTCCCAGCGAAAAGATGTAGAGTGCCTCTGAGTATTTCAGACAAGTTCCCCTGAGTTGCAGATCCAGTTATAGGATCCACTCATTGATCTCCTCAGTTTTGAGAATAGACAGAGAAGCCATCAGAGGACTGGGAAGCTTGGGATCCTTGTTGGTATGTGGAAAGGTGGATGGATGACCAACTATGGCTGCCAGAGAGCACAAAACATCCCAAAGAAGGTGGTCCATGGGAGGGACAGGATTTAGAAAATATAAGGCACAGTTAAAAATGAGGCGATAAACAACTAAGCTTATTTTTACTTATTCCCTCATACTTTGTCCCAAACATTCTCTTTCCACTGCTTAAGCCCCTTCTCACCCTTTAGGATGTCACCTTTTCTGTTACCTTTTTCTACTCCTAACCTTCTCCCCAGGGAAAGTAAGTTACCTGCCTCTCTCTCTGTCCCCGTAGTACCCTGTACCCAAACCAGTTACAGTAATTCCTTAACTCATTCCAAAACATTTATGAAGATTTACTATGTTCCAGACTTAGAGAGGAGTAGACACACAGGTAAATGAGACACAGTCCCTGCCCTCAGAGTGTACACAGTCTAATAGGGAGACAGACAAGTAAAAACATCTTAATCCAATGTGGTTGGTGCTTGGTGGAGGGGAGTCTAGAAATCCAGATCAGACTTGGGATTCAAGGAAGGGAATGTAAGCTTAGTCTTGAAGGGTAAGAGGAGCCAACAGTTCTGAAGAGAGGGCTTACTGCCTGGCAGAGAGAAGACCATCCTCACAGGCCCAGAAGCAGCAAACAGCAGGACACATTTGGAGAACTGCCAGAGACCTAGTGTGGCTGAAGGAATGGCAGACTTTGGGGAGTGACTGGAGACGATGGTGGAGAAGTAGATGGGGATGGAGTCAACAAGCTGTGGCCTCAGAAAATAATCCTGAAAGCCACAGGCAGCCAATGAGTGATATCAATTCAGGGAGTAACTGGCTCTGATAGATAGTCTGGTGAATTTCTTGAAGATCCAAACCAGGTTGGAGATTTTTAGAATAATCCAGGTCATAGATGCCAATGGCCAGGATTAAAGAAATGACAATTGATATGAGAAAGAAATGACAATTGATATGAGAAATACTTGAGAGCTGATCTTTTTTTTTTTTTTTTTTTTTTTTACAAATAGTTTATTGTCAAATTAGTTTCTATATAACACTCAGTGCTCATCCCCAAAGTGCCCTCCTCCATGCCCATCCCCCCTCCCCCCCACACCCATCAGTCCTCAGTTTTTGTCAGCATTCAAGAGTCTCTCATGGTTTGCCTTTGAGAGCTGATCTTTACCAGACTTCATTGCTGACTAGATGTGGAAAGGAAGGGAGGAGAGGACAGCTGATAACTTTCTGATTGGTGGTTCAGAGGATGCAGAGAGCGGGACGACCAGTCCATGAGACGGGAAAGACAGGAAGAGCAGCAGAGTTGTCTGTGAAGACAATGAGCCTGCTGAACAACTTTGGGACACCCAAGTGGAGTGTCTGGATCTGCTTCTCAGGGAAGAGAGTGGTCTGGGGAAACGTATTTGGAATCTTTGTTATCCTGACAGTGCTCAGAAAGCCATGGGTCCATGCCCAGAGTATCTAGATCGGGGAGACAGAGGGATTGAAGAGCACCAGCAATGTTCCAATCTCCTCATGTGCAAAGGGGGAGAACTATGTTCTCTTATGAGAACCCAGTGAGATCAAAAAGCTTCTCCTGATGGCACAAGGCTCAGAACACAGAAGACTCTCGCCGTGTGTGGCTTTCCCTTCTTACCACAAATCACTTGGTTGGCACTCGACACCACTTTCTTACAATAGAATACTAGAATTTTACTTCTCTTTGCATGCTGAAAGTTTATGTGGGCTAAAGACCAGGGAACATGCATGGAGGCACCCCAGCTGCTTTCTGAAATGGTCTTTTCTGGTGGCTGACAGTTGTTTTTTTGAGTTTTTCAGTCTGACTGTGGCAAAAACAGGATAAGGAATGATGTAGCCAATAATCCCACTGAGTTGAGTTTACATAATAACACAGAGCTCAGATGAATATAGTAACCGTTAGCAGGGTTTGGATTGAAATGTTAAATTCTGAACTTCCTATCTTGTTATGCTTCAAAGTTAGAGATATGATAATCATCATCATCCTGCCCTGAGATGAAGACCTGGATATGACATTTGGAGAGTTGTCAACATGTCACAAAGGATTCAGTACAGTGACACCGACCATGTTGCCCCTATTTGTGCCTTGCTTCCCTAACTGAGATTTAAAAAATAATAATAATGAGGCTTCTAATTTTATGGAAGAACTAAATCAAACAGTCCCAGAGACAGGTCAGACTCCCACTGTCAGAACCCTGGCTGTGTCCCACTGTCCGCTGTCCCCTGTTGTGTCTCCTACCTGTTCCCTTCTGTCACGAGTGGCTTCTCTGGGTGTGTGGTGGAGACAGTAGGGATGGCAACATTATGGGCTGCACCCCCTTCTCCTTCATGCAGCAGTGGGAGGACTTCTTCTTCAGCTGATTCCGCTGACTTCTTCTTACTCCCATGAGAGGACCCTCCATCAAGCAGGTTCCCAAAATTACCTATAGAGGCAGCACCAAGGAGAGAGAGGCCAGGTGTCAACAAGCAAAATCAGGCTACATGGCGTAAGGGATGCAAGGTCATATCCTCCCAGGGCAGAGAAATAAGATCTCTGTATGAAGGTGGGAAGAGTGATAGTCAGACGAGAGAAATAAGATTGACAGTGACAATGAGCCATCATCTACTTCCATCTTGATGTTGTCTTTTGTAAAAACGACTTAAGTCACAAATAAACTGGATTCCATCTCCACTTCTTTCTGCTCCTGTAAAGGAGACCCTTCCGATATGAATCAAGCCATTCTCTGATGGAATGCTCTTTCTTGGAAAGGTTTTCCCAGGTGTGCATCAACCCAGGAAGATTTTGGGGAGTTACAATAAAAGCACCTACAACATGCACAGCACTTCGCATGTATTAACCCACTATTCTCTTCCAATAACCCTATGAGGAATTATTATTCTCATTTAATAGATGAAGACATTGAGATTCAGAGAAATTAAGTGAGCCTAGGAGTAATGGAACCAGGATTAGTAATCCAAGTCTATCTGAATCCAAACTATACTCTTAAGCCTTTTTTCAAGGTATGAAAATAAATCTATCCCTTACATATTGATGATAGGTGAACAAAGAATTATTCATTTCTTTCTGAGGTGCAAACCTCCACCTGAATGCTATCATCTCCATGTAAGACACCAACTCATTTATTCAAGAAATAGGTATAAAGTCCTATTTATAGGTGCCACGCACTGTGCTTATTTGTACTTACCAATAGAAACTTCAAAGCTAATGGGTTTGTCTCCAATCCTCCGGTCAATCATGGTAGCTTCAAAAAATGCTCCAAAGAGTAAAAATTCCTCATATTTTTCTGGTATAATCTACAGAAAGAAAAAAATATTAGACAGGCCTGGATCTATTTTTTTTCTTTTTTACCAGTAAGCTGAATTAGTGATGTTAACTGGTCCAGGATGATTTGTAGGCATTTGAGGCATTTCACAAATTTCAGTGTTAGCAGGGAATGGCACATTGTTTCCCCATGCACCAGATAGGCACTAACCAGGACCTACAAATTACACATCCAAATTCAGCCTTTTATCTAGAATGATGTCATCTTATCTTCTGAGCTTCTACCTTGCAGTTAAAATCTTTTTTTATTTTAGGGGCACCTGGGTGGCTCAGTCAGTTAAGCGTCCGACTTCAGTTCAGGTCATGATCTTGTGGTTCGTGGGTTCGAGCCCCACATCGGGCTCTGTGCTGACAGCACAGAGCCTGGAGCCTGATTCAGATTCTGTATCTCCCTCTCTCTCTGACCCTCCCCTGCTCATGCTGTGTCTCTCTCTCTCTCTCTCTCAGAAATAAATAAAACATTTAAAAAAATCTTTTTTTATTATAAAGGCAAAGGCTGGAGTGTGTATCTTTCTACGGCGCTATTGTTAAAACATAGGTTTGGGATCACCTTCAGGTGAGCAGCCATTTAGAAACAGACAGTCCCAGGATCAGACCTTTACAATGGAGCATCATTTTATGGATTATACAGGATGACCACATATATTATGTTTTTTCCTCTCAACAACATTGAGAGGTCGAAATCTGGATCATTCCCATTTTACAGGTAAGGAAGCTGAGGAAACTAAACTTAAAGTTTAGTAACTTTTCCAAGTATTCTGATGACAGACCCAGTGCTCTTGGGTCTCCAACATGTGCTAACCCAACGCCTTGTTGCTGCTAGGCACCAGGAGAGCTAGGCACTTGCATGAGCATCAGCCAATTCAGTGCATCCCGGACGAGGGATCAGCACTGCAGTTCTTGGCATGAGGGTGCCCAGTCCTGGGATCACAACTGCTTTTACACTGAAAAAGGCTTTAGAGTTCATCTGATCCCACTTCCTTCTGTCTGAATAAACTAAAGCTCAGAGAGACTAAGGGGTTTCCCCAGGTCACACAGCAAGTTAAAGTCAGCCAAGATTTGAGGTCTGGTCTCCACAAAGCCTGCCCTCAAGGAGCCTACATTGTGGAAGAGAGGACCACCACAGGCCACAGGACAGGAGCCATGCCACGGCAACAACTGTTTGTAGATGACCCCTGTTGATGTGGACCAGGGCGATGGTTCAGAGAGATGTAGCTGAGACACAGCATCACATTTCTGAGCAAAGAGGCTGAATGAACTGCCATAGTCTGTGATTCCCGGTTTCACACCTGGGTTTATTAAATTCCATGGAAAAGGCAATAAGGTTCATCTAAGGAAAATAAACAGTTGTGGCTTTAAAGCTGAAGAGCCCCAGCTAATCAAGAGCCCTGAACCCTGTCCCACAGAGAGCCAACAGGTCTCAAAAGGGTGACCTTTCCTTCACCCAGGAGCCTTCTTGCTGTTGGCATCAGCAGGAAATGTTCCTACCGACCAGCAGTGTCGGACAGGGTGGGGGCCCCATGTTGGATCTTAGTCACAAAGCACACACCCCTCCCACCTGCTGCCACTGTATCCACTGCTGTAAATGAGCCATGTATCTCACCTTCCTGGGGCCCAGTTTACCCTCTGGGAGGAGGTTACAAAGTATCTGGAGGCCCAGTGGGCATGTAAATCATGTAGACTAGAAAAGGAATGGCAGACTCACTAGTCAGATAAACCCTTCTTCCAATCCCAACTCTGCTACTTCCTAGCTGATTGACTTCAGGCAAGTCATGTCCACTCTCTGGGTGTCATTTTCCCTGTCTGTGAAATAAACTTTGTCGTAGGACCTACGGGGGAGAAATGAGACCATCCATCCACATGAAGCCTCTTGTATAAAGCCTATTCAGACAAATGCCACAACAATGGCAGTCATGGTAAGTATTTCAACAGAATTCATCTCTTAACCCAACCCATACTTTGAGGTCTAACTCAAGTGGTCCCTTCTTTTGGAAGCATTCTTTGACTTCCTGAGCTGGAAAAATGATGATGGTAATGTTTACTGAGCTCTTATTATGTGTCAAATGTGGTATTAAGTCTTTTACCTACTATCTCATTTAATTCTCATAACCCCCCTAAGAAGGAGATGCTTTTATTCTACATGTATAGAGGACACATGTAGTCTGTGAAAGGTTAAAATATCTGCTCAAAGTTACCAAGCATGCCTAATATTTATTGAGCACTTACTATATGCCAGGTTGTGTTCTTAGAACTTTGTATATATTAAATCATTAAATCCTCGCTATAAGCCTATGAAGTAGAGGTTATTATTAGAAATAAGCATAAGGAGCTTAAGTCACTTGCCCAAATATTCAGAGGTAATGTTTCTCCAGAGACTGCACCACACTGCCACATCCAAAATCCAGCCATCTTGCTTGGGAGCCCAGCATTCTAATTATTATACTTCACTCACTCCAAGAAATAAAAGCATTTTACCCGTAGCTCCTTAATGCATGTATCACTTTCTATTTCCTGTACATTTATTTTGTATATCTTACCTCCCCTTCTGTATCATAATTTCCATAGAGTCAGACTCTTTGTATTCCTACCAATATTGAGGATGATGTTTAAACAAGAAGCTACTCAGTACGTGTTTACACAACTTAAAAATGAACACATTTATTAGATTAGCTGTGCTCTGTGAAAGCTTGGCATAGGGAGAAAAGCTTTGATGGTGGTGATGAAGGTGAGGGATCTCACCAAAACCACGGGATCTCATTTGTCCAGGGATGCAATGAGAGCATGGTTGCAGCAAAAGCTAAACAAGATGATACAGAAGGTGACATCACCGTGTGGTAAGGGTGAGTCTGAGCTGTTGAGGCTCTGGGGAAGGTAGAAGCCCAATACGGTAGAAGCCCAATACGGTAGTTTTAAAATATGTCCACAGATTCTTGGAAAATCTTCCCCTCAAAAGATGAAACAACATTAGAATATGTGTCTATTCTAACAAATAGAATGCGCCATAGTGTGTGGCGTCTATGGGTTTTGTCACACAAGACATCGAAGTTTCTGCCTTCCTCTCTCTTAGATCACCAGTCAAGGGGAAGCCAGCTGCCATGAAGACACTAAGCACCTTATGGAAGGGTCCATGTGGTGAGGAACTGAGGCCTCCTGACAACAACCATGTGAGGGTACCATCTTGGAAGTAGATCCTGCCACCCCAGTCAAGCTGTCAGATGACTGCAGCCCTTACTAACATCTTGATTGAAACATCATGAATTCTGAGCCAGAACCACCAAATTAAGGTATTCTCAAATTCCTCACCCACAGAGAAAATAAATGTTTATTGTTTTAAGTTGCTAAATTTGGGGGTGATTATTATGCAGTGAAAGATAACTAATAAAGCCAGCAAGAAACAGACCACAAACAAGAAGCCAGGATGAAAAAAGAAGGAAGGAGAAGAAAGGGTTTGAATGAGACCTGAATTTCCCCTCTCTTACCTCCTTATACACAACAGCCCTGGTAGAAAATGTACGCTCTACATAAACTCCCAGCTGCCCTTGCTTTCTGCTAAATTTTTTTTTTCAGATGGTCTTAGCAAAATATCTTGAAGATATTGACTTGGGTTAAGAAAATCTTCTATTAGGCCCTTTCTACTTGGCAGTTTCTGTTTAGAAAAGAATGGCCAGTCTCAACAGTAGGAAAGATTGCCACAGAGTCAGATACAGGGGATACTGGCAGAGGTGGTTACTTAAGGTTCCCGCAGTTTCTGGCAAAGTCCAAAAAATGTCATTTCTAAAGTTGCCATATATTCTGAAACAATACACATAAATACAATCACATCCAATGTCAATCTTAACCATAACAAACTGACAGTACACATTTATGAAGAATATTTCCCAATATACAAGTTCATGAGGGAGAGCTCGGGAGGTCCACAAAATACCCAGAGTAAGTCCAAACAAGAGGGTAGAGAGCTCTGAATAGCTACCCACTTGTAGTGGGAACAAACCATAGAAACACTGATCACAACAACAGCAAATGTACTGCCTGTCTACAGTATATGTGCAAAGAACCCTGCCGACCATTTTACAGGCATTTCCTCATTTACCCCCAGGAGATGACTATGACAGAGGGACTATTACTTACCCATTGTGTTGATGAGTAAACTGAAACATGGAGAGCTTCTACCGTAAGTGCCATGAATAGAACCAACCTCCAAGATTTCAAACCCTGGGCTCCAACCTCTCCCTCACACTGTATCTTAAGATGTATTGGATCCCAGCAGTAAAAGTAAGTGGCTCTATCAGGGCTAATCTCACCCAGACCAGCCATCACTTCTCTTCCCCACCCAAAATGACTGTCTGGTTGATCTGAGAAATACACCCCCAGAGGCAGATCATCCAAGTTGAAAGTGGGAATCTACTCGCTTCTGCTACTAACAAAACACAGGTTCCTTCTTTTGATTAACTAAAAAGTACTCTTACTAATCTAAAGAGTTGAGAGGATATTAATAGTTAGTATTCATCTTGGTGACCCAGATCTCTTTCCCATCATACAGAAGCAGGCTGGAAAAATGCTAACACACTTAATATTGAGTAATACACAGAAATAAGCATTCCTTTGAATTGTGATTCCTCCCCCCCCCCCCCCCCCCCCCCCGCCAGGCTTGGGCAGGGGAATAAGTTTCTCAAATTCTTGTATCCCAGCGTGTCACCCATTCTTCCCCCTCTTCATTCTCTGTCCCACATGCCTCACATCCAGAGCATACACTATTCTACAAAACTAAACAAAATTAGGCTATGGGTAGAGCTCAGTCCATCCACCACCTACTTCCTCATTTTGGTTCCCATTGGAATCTGTGTTTTGGGGGGACACTTGAGGAACTTATCATGAGCAGATGGGAGGGATGTGTCAAGAAGAGGCAGTGGATTGCAGGGGGAGGAGACCTGTGTGTGCTTTTGAGGGCCCATGGGAGCAGGTGGCCAGTGGTGCTTCCTCTCTGGCTCTCCTCACAGAGGCAGTGCTCAGACCCACCTCAGGGGGCACATCGAAAGGTTCCACCTCAACCTCTGTTGAGTTGGTCTTGTCTGAAGCCTGCTGGGATTTTCCACCATCAGTCTTATCATCCTTGTCTTTACTGGAGCCTTTGGAAGACTTGGAGTCTTTGTCCTTTGAAGACAACTTAAGCTCCTTGAGTGTCTTGGAAAATTTAGATTCCTGTGCCCCTCCTGAGAGGATCTCCACAGCAATTTCCACCAAGATCCTGCCCCTGAATGACACGCCTTCTCCAAAGCCTTCATTCAGTTCCTGGTAGTCATCCATCAGACTGTGGTTCCTGGGTGAGCCATACAGGTTAATCCAGGCAGGTCCAAAGGTCGGTAGAAAGCCTACAAAAACCAAGCTTTAGTTGCCCAGTAAAGAAACTTGATTATTTCTTGATTTATGAAAATTGTGCACGCCCGTGTAGAATATAAAATATACAGAAAAGACAAGAGAAAATATTTACAGAATATCCCATCCCTCAAAGAGCCACAGTTGCCATTTTGCTATATTTGCTGTATTTCTTTCTAGTCCTTGCATGCACATGTGTACACTGTTCACGGCTGTAATGATCCTGTGAAGGCCCACATGCGTTGCTGTCTGTTCATTCATTCATCTAATGTTTATTGACTCCTAACATGTGTCAGGCACTGTGTGGATGCCAAACACAGAGCCCAGTAGAGAACAAAGCAGAAAGAAATATTAAACAAGTAAATATTTATATTATAGGTGCTAAGAAAGAGATTTACCCTGTGTTGCGAGAACAAATAACAGCCTGATGAGGCATGGAGAGAGGTCAGGGAGAGAGAGAGAGAGATTTTGTCCCAAAGGAGGGTGATTTTTTTTTTAACTCTCAAAATTTCAGTTCTGTTTATTCACTCGGTGTTCTGGTGGGTAGGTTTTGTAAGGAATGGGAAATTGGGAGATATACATATAGACAGATATAGATACATGCATACACACATACACACACACACACACGCACACACACACACCTCTACTGACTCTTTTCTGTTTTAGGATAAAGACAGGAAATAGTAAAGAGAGCTACTGGATCATGTTCTGGGTAGTGACCTCTGGGTTAGGAGTAATTGGGTATAAATAGGAGTTACTCAATAACAACATGGGGTTCTCATACTCCCTTCTTTGGAGAAATCAGTCTTAGTCCAAAGGAGGGTAAATTTTAAGAAGCAGAGATACTGTGTGAAAAGGGGTTAAAAGGTTTTATGGCCCCTGATGTCTAATTTTGAAAACACTTTTATACATTTCTTTGAATACCATCAAGATGTTCCTGAAAAATTGGGAGTAAAACACGTCTGCATCTATGAGAAATTCTGAAGGTGGGCGGAGTGTGTGTTCTGCATAAAACAATCCTATGGCAAACCTTTCCAGGACATGAAGACTTAAACAGTAGGTATTTATTGAGGCTCTTCTGTTGTGTCACACTGTGAGAGGCAGAAAAATATGGAAATCTTGTCTTCTGCTTAAGCTAAGCCTTCAGTATATATACGTGCATATGTACATATACACACATATATATGCATAAATATATTCATCAATTAACATGAATTTGTAGTGCAGAGAAAGATTGCCTTGGGATTTTAAGAATGGAGGGTTTGGGGGATATTGAGAAAGCTATCACTTGTTAATTTAGGTTTTGCAAATAAAGAGTAGAAGCTCTTTCTCCTGACTGATGGATTAGCTGGAACTCTCTATTCCCTCCCTGGCTCTCTGAATGCACAGTCAGCAGCGCCTTCCTGCAATACTCCTGACCATGTGCTCCTATCAGTGAGTTGGGGGCACAGTATTTTTGGACCATTTAAACACGTAAAACCATTCTTAGCTTGTGAGCCACACAAACATATCTGGCAGGATAGATGTGGCCCATGGACCAGAGCCTGTCAACACCTGATCTAATCTAAACCCTTCATTTTTCATGTGAGAAACCTAAGGCCCAAAGAGAGGGAGTGGTTCCTCAAGGCCACACAGCAATGTCCATGGAAGACCTGGGACCAGTACGGAGGCTCCTGGGCTGCCACAACCAGGCTCCACCTATTGCCCAAAACCCAAACCACAAACCACACAGAGCTTAGAAGTGCCTAACACACTGCCTGCTCTAATGCTCTTGTTTTAAAGATGAGGGCTTTAAATCAATTGTTTTGTGGTCTCATGTCCATGTCAGACATATGAGGCTCTACCTTTGTCTCCATCCTGTTCATTGGAGATTTTCTTCAGGTCAATGAAATGGGTGGCCAGAGCTACATCATTCATGCTGCCTTCATCCCACACCTGGATTTTCACCCTCCGACACAAAGGAGGGAACATTTCCTTGAAGACCACCTGTTCGTGCCACACAGGATCGGCACAGTTCTTCTGCACTGTGGTTCGTCCCTAAAAACAAAGCCAGCAGGATGTGAGCTGTTGAGGGAAATGAAAGATGTCTGCCGACCTGAGCTGACTTCAAGCCAACTGGCAAACCAAGTTGCCAGAAATAATGAGCCGGCTTGCACCCAATACCCATGGAAATCCATTGTACCCAGAAACATTATAGTAGCCTTCCCTTATCCACAGGCGAATGGATTCCAAACACCAGTGGATGCCTGAACCCACAGAACCTTATATGTACTCTTTTTTTCTTCTACATACATACCTATGATAAAGTTTAATTTATAAACAAGACGTAGTAAGAGATTACCAACAGTAACTAGTAATAAACTAGAACAAGTGAAACAATATACCCTAATAAAAGTTAACATAGGTATTAGCAACTTCAGCATACAATTTCTTTCCTTTCCATATTAAGTCAAGACCTTTCACTTTTTTGCTTAAAGGAAACATTTTATAGCTTCTCTTTGGTGTATCCGAATTGCCAGGACGACCGCTCCTGCATCCGGGGGTCATTATTAAGTAAAATAAGGGGTATTTGACCTCAAGCACAGGCATAGCACCACAGTGGACCTGATAACCCAGGCGGCTACTAAGTGACAAATAATAGACAGCGTGGATATGTTGGACAAAGGGATGAATCACATCTGAGTAGGATGGAGCAGGATAGCGCAGAATTTCATCACGCTATCTGGAACAGTGTGCAACTTAAAAGTCATCGATGATTTATTTCTGGAATTTTCCATTTAATAATTTCAGGCCATGGTAGACCATGGGTAACTGAAACCACAGAAAGCAAAACCACAGATAAGGGAGGAATACTGTACTGACACCCTACCCTGCACCGTACACTATACCCGGCATCAGGGACAAGGGAGTAATGATGGGTCCTGCCCTCCGGAAGTTCTCATAATCACAAGATCATGAAATCAAGCCAACATGCATGTTATGTACATGACTTGTTCCATGCATCTCCAGGAATGCAGCAGATATAGGTAGATCCTGAGTTTGTGTCTTGTCAAAGGCTTTTTAAGGGCTTTGTGCACTTCCCCTATCTGGACCTCAGTTTCCTCACCATAAAATGGAGGTGATGTTGTATGTGACTGTCAAGGGGTCCAGGTAAAAAATACTCCAGTGTTCACCCTGCCAAGAGGAGGGTTAGGGTAGCATATACTGTAAGGATAGAGACAACATATGTGTCAGCCGAAGCTTCAAAGTCCAGCCAACCAGGATTAAGCTGTGACCATGTGCCTAGACCTCGGCATTTCCAATGGCTCTTGAGCAGGGAACAGCAGGGAATAGAGATGTCCAGGCTTACCTAGTACAAGGACTACCTGGGAAGCCTGGGGAGCACGTTCAGAGGCAGATGGCAATGCTACAGAGCCTGGGTAACAGCTCAGAGAAGTAGCCAGAGGTAATGCAGGAGGTCTGTCTGCCTGGGTCCTAAACCATAATATCCCATACTTCCTCTCCATCATCTCAAATAGAGAGTAAGTGGGTCACCCTCCCACTTACCTGCCACGCGACTCAATGCCTTTTGTGGCAAGCTTTCTCTCTCAAGGCACTTCCTAATTTTTATTTTAGCTTGATTTCATTTGATTAGAAATGTCCTGAGTAACGAGTGCCATCCTGGCCCGGGTTTGCCATTTTTGGTGACGACGTTTCCTTACCATCTGCCCAGCAAAGGAGACCTCCACGAAGGGGTCCACAAGGTCCTTACTGTCACCCACAAATGCTTTGGTGACATTCGCCATGATGCTGGAGTTCATTTTGGGCAACCCTTCTGCTTTGTAGAGTCTCACGTAGAATCTGGCCCAGGGCCTCTCTGATGGAAACCCTTTAGGGATCAAAAGGTTCCTTGAGGAGGAACAAAAACAAAAAATAAAAAAGGGCCCTGACTTGAAAGAATAGAAAAAGTGGAAGCAATGTGGAGGCAGAAAGAAGAACCTTGATGTAGGAGAAAAAAACTGAAAAGATGAGGATTCATCACTAAAATGAGTTTTCTTTGTGGTGTAAATGGCAGCAAAGGATATGAATACAGTGAATGCAAGCGCATTCCAGCCCTCAAATTATAGAATAAACACCGTCTCCCACGCTGCACCTTAAAAGAAGTGCATTAAGTCTTCCCATTTCATAAACTGGTGGTTGAAAGTATAATTCCTTCAAAGGAAAAAAATCAACCAAATCCAGATAAATAGGAAAAGCTCAAGAACAGCTTATCTCTATAGGGAGACAGGCTGTCCTCCCAAAGGCTAGTGACACCTCTGGTTAGACACATGTGGGTGCCTCTGAGAGAGCAGAATCCCAGGTAGACAAGGCATGAATTTGGCAATTCTCATGTGCCTACCGGAAGAGGGAGGGAGGGAGGGGAAAGAGAGACATTTAGGGCATATCATTTCTCGTGCATGGCCCTGGATGGACCTGCCTCACTTTTCTATTTGCTCCTCAGCATCGGAGGTCTTGGGGTTGGTCTTTAAGACGTCGCCTTTCCCGGTCATGCTGATGTCACACTTCAGGTACCCCTTCGTGCCCGTCCTGATGTCGCCGGGGTCTGTGAGCAGGGCCCACTTGTCACAGAACTGATGACCTGTAAAAGCATCCTGACAGCTCAGATACCCTGCACGGCTGGACTCAGCAGGTGCAGCCCATTCTTTCCCACATCCAAGGCCTCCCAAGCTCTGTTCCCTGGAGGGGGGAGCTCATCAGGGCATCCCCCAGCCTCGTGCTGCCTCCCTCCCCTCCTTCCCTCCTCTCTTTTCGTTCCCACCCTCTGTCTTTCTCTCCAACCCACCACAGGTTTTTGGAAAGCCTTCACCCCAGTGCTAATTGCCTGGAAAGGTTCCTAGCTTTGACAGTCTAGGAATGGCTGTGGCGGAACATGAATGGAGTAGAGAAGTCAATATTTCACAGGCTATAAATGTGACTCGTGGATCTTTTTGTTTGGTCTACACTGTCAGTTCAAACTTTAAAATCTCTTGCAAAATCAGGACTTCTGGCTTATCGGGAAAAACTTAGATCTGCCAATACAGAGTGCACATTTCCATGTGTCAGCAGGTGGTCAAGGAGCGGAGTGGCCACTGTGGGTTGTGAGCCCTCCTGTTCACCACAGCCTGCTACACCCCTTAGTGTATTAACCCACGGCACTCAGTGATGCCCATGGCCTGGTCCCCTGGGCTCATGTGAGTTGCAACTACTGCTGACAAGAAGGGACCTCGTAAATAAAGATCTGTATTTCCTGATGGCCCAGTTATTTATCCACTCCCGACCTTGGACAAATTACCTGCCTTCTCTGAGTTTCACTTTCTGTAAATCAGGGATAGTAAGAATTATCGTAGCCAATCCTTTCACGGCATGCAACAACCCTAGAAAGGAGGCACTATTTTTATCTCAATTTTCTCAGATGAAGAAACTAAGGTGCAGAGATGTCAAGTCATTCTCCTGAGGTTGCACAACCAGGAAACAGCAGGGTGGAATTTGAACCCAAGCCATTTGGCTCCATCAGGGTGCCTGGGTGGCTCGGTCGCTTGGGCGTCTGACTTTGGCTCAGGTCATGATCTCATGGTTCGTGGGTTCGAGCCCTGCATCAGGCTTTGTGCTGACAGCTTGGAGCCTGGAGCCTGCTTCGGATTCTGTGTTTCTCTGTCTCTGTCTCTCTGTCTCTCTCTGTCTCTCTGTCTCCCTGCCCTTCCCCCGCTCACACTCTGTCTCTCAAAAGTAAATAAATGTTAAAAAAAAAAAAAAATTGAAGTCAGTCCACCTGGCTCCAGAGTTCAAATGTCTAACTCCTGTGTCATCTTTCCTGTGTATGCCTCACAGCAGCACAGCAGGAAATGAGACAGAATTTGTTGGGCGGGGGGTGCGGGGGGCATATGGACATTAAAGACAATTTTGCCATTAGATTGTGAACCTTGAGGAAAAGAGCCAGGTGTTGCTCTGACTGTATACTTGGTGTTCATAGTACTGAATGAATGGGGCAGTGGACGGGCTGACCTCCAGGTGTGGCAAACTGGAGACGAGGAAGGGAGAGATGAGGAAGTGACTGTCTCACCTGGTTGGTTGTACACAGTCCCCAGGTCTACTTTGAAGGAACCGATCAGTATGCTTCCTATCAGCTTGTGGTGAAAGACCTGAGGAGAGATGGAGCAGTGAGTATGGCCACACCAGATTTCTCTTTGAGGACCAATCTGTGAAATGGGTTCATGACACCTCAGCAAGGATTCTAGACCTTGATGCTTGTCTGACCTTCTCTCATCTGGAGCACAATAACACTTGATCATCAAGTGAAAAGGGCATCCAGAAGTATGTCACCTGTACCTGTTCCTCCCAGCAGGTTGTCAGCTAGCAAAGGACACCTAACAAATCTCACTGTCTTGAAAAGTATTTTTTAGGCCAAAGTGAGCTCTAGTATAGCCCATCTCTGCCTATTGAAACTCTACCCATTCTTCAACATCTAGAGCAAATGTTACCTCCTCCAAGCAGCCTTCCCTGATCCTCCTCAGCCAAAAGTCCTCTTTCTCCTCTAAACTTCCAAAACTCTCTGCTCACAACTTACTCAGAGAACTCATGTATTGCTTCAAGAAGTGTAGTAGAACAAAGGAAGGGGTCATCCTCAATATTTTGTCTGATCAGAAGTCAGCAGGGTGCCAGGCAGGTTACAGCAACACTCTGGAATGCAGTGCTATCAAGAAGCAGAAGTTGTTGGGGCGCCTGGATGGCTTAGTCGGTTAAGCGTCCAACTTTTGCTTAGGTCATGATATCTCGGTTCGTGGGTTCAAGCCCCGCATCGGGTTCTGTGCTGACTGCCAGCTCAGAGCCTGGAGCCTGTTTCAGTCTGTGACTCCCTCTCTCTCTGACCCTCCCCTGCTCACGCTGTCTCTCTCTCTCTAGAAATAAATAAAACATTTAAAAAAGAAGAAGAAGAAGAAGAAGAAGAAGAAGCAGAAGTTGTAAAGGAAAGCCGCAGCCCTGCTACTGGGTCCAGAAGGCACACTGCATGGGGCACTGCTGAAGAAGCAGGAGCATCTTTAACTCGGAAAAGAGAAAACTGGGGTGTGGAGAAGGGGTAATGGTAACTTAAGCGATTTCCAATCTTGGAAATCCTGCCATCTACAATAGGGAGTAAGTTCCCCATGTGGTTTCCAAGTCACAGAATTAGAGACTCAGCTCACTATAAGGACAGTTTCTATAACAGAACTTTCTGGCAACGAATAGGCTTTTCTGGAGATAGTGATGTCCCATCACTGGCTATAAGCGAGCAGTGCACCACAATCCCACGCCATGGAGGTGGTGAGAGGGATTCCTGCGGCTGTTACAAGTTAGACTTGATGGCCTCTGGGCTTCCTTCTATGACATTCTGAGTTCCTCGAATCAAAGACAATTTCCTACTTTCTCCTAACCACCATATGCATGGCCTTGTTCATTATATGTGTTCAATAAATATTTGGTGAATTAATGAATGATTCACTGATTGAATGATGTACATTCGAATAGGAGACTTTTGTGGTTTCTAAACAGCTCCCTTTGGCAGAGGCAATAAGAATAAATAAATTCAATGGACTTCAGGAAATGAAGAAATGACAGTCCATCCCATCTCTTTCCACCCTTGCTCCCTTGCCCAAACTTTGCAAGGGAGGTAAGATAACTGAAGGGAAGTAAGGACAGCTTGGTTCCAGGGGAGGAGTGATTTAAGGCCACACACGCGAAGCTCACTCCAAACCTCCTATGCTTGCAGTTGCTAAGTGGCTTCCCAAAGGCCCAAGCAAGAACACAAGCCTGACTCAGGCTCTCTTCTCAGGTCAAAGGCATCTGGGTCCCTGTGGGCTTGATGGGAGGATGGGACCCAAGAGCCCACTTGGGTCTTTAAATAACACAGGAGGCCTCCTCAAATCATCCATCCACCCAGTAGGGCCAGCGAACCCTGGTGTGGTCAAGCATTCGATTAAAAGGACTTCAGGGAGGGGCACACACAGACTGCTGGGGCCCTGCATGCCAGGGGGCCACTATCAAGGGAAGATGGTCTGTAGCACCACCAAGGTCTGCCAGAGGCTGGCCTCCCCAATAGCACTTGCTTACTGCACTCCCTCCTTCTTCCCTCATGTTCAATTTCTTTGGGCATGTTGACGTTAAGTTCATGGACTAGTGGAAAACTTGTATTAAACACTCCCCTCCAAGGGAGTTTTCCCTGTAAAATCTTTGGTTTCTGTCCCTAGGGGTCATCTAGGGAGCCCAAAGTATTCTCTTCTTCCAAGCTAGAGGAACAAAGATGGGCAATAGCAGCTTTGGTCATCAGTCTAAAGATCCACCGTCCTACAGAGTCATGACGCTTGTCTATGCTATGGTATAAAAATCTAGCTAGTCACTGTTTATCTGAAATCTAGACAGTTCCTTAGGACCCAGCTACACTGCCCATCTCACAAACAGGTGGTCGCCTGAGCTCTGCAATGTAACAAAGCCCTAGGCCATGGCCCAGGTCCCAGAATTCTGCAACACTTGTCCCCATGTCTGAAATTCACACTAAGAATGTTTGGCTCTTAACAACTTTTCATTCTTCAAGAGTCACATTCTTCAAGTGCCCCTGAGAAACAGAATATAATAACTCTACTATTACCTAAGACTTAATGCAAGATTTATATGTTTTACATATAATACTATGTACATATATAATATCAAATATATGATATGATATGATATATTAGTAGGTGATAAGGAAAGGTTAGGAAGTCTCTGAGACAAGTTTTGCCATCTTAAAATTCTGATTAGAGTTGGTGTCACTGTTGAGGAAAACATTTCCCCATTCTCCACACATCTTACATTGTCACATAAAATGCGGAGTCTGTTCTTTTAGACCCATTGGCGGGGATTACTAAGCTTTGCACCATCCACCCCGCCTCTCTCAGGGATGCATAGCCACGCTACCCTCTTCGTGGGAGAAGCAGTGATTTCCCAAAGGAGCAAGATAAATGCGGTCTGTCACCCACTGGTTTCTCTGTCTCTTCCGTGAGTGGTGTGAGGTTGGTATGAGTTCCATCTGGTCCCCGTGCTCTCTCATTTGGGCAACTACAGCTTCAGCATGGGCACCTTCCCTTCCGGTTCATGTCCTCTGTGTCGTGGACCACCTTCATAAGGCACCTTTGGCTAGACCAAGAATCTTCTCGGTCTCTGCTATTCAGACATGGTCTGTGGAGGCAGGAATTCACCCTGCAGGGCTGAGGAAGGGTCTGTGCAGCAGACACAATCCTGCATGAGCAGGTCCTAAAGTCTACACTCAGAGGCAGCTGTGAAAAAGCCAAATGGCAACCACTCGCTCCAAATCACATTCTCTGATCCAGCATTACTGCTATCTTTGGTTCCTTCCTGATGCTCTTTCCTACTTCTCTATTTATTAGCAACTACAAGTGGGGAGTGGTATGGTTATCATTAGTGTGGGTATCATCCCAGGAGAGAGACACTAACATTTCGTTTCACAGAAAGAAAGAAATCAACTCAAAATGGCAATCATCAAGATGGCCGTTGAAGCATGTATTTCACATTCCCACATTAGTAAACTCCACAATTCAATTCATGACAGCTTGAGAATAGCTTATAGCTTGTTTCCAGGAAGAAGATTTCCTTGAAGAGATTTTCCTTCCCAAATTCCTCCACACTAGTTATTTCATGTTCTATCCTGTTGGTTTTGAACTCACCATCCCACACTCACCCCCTCCCAAACCTATTCACCCCTACACAAGCTGAGCTGTTCTAGAGAGTTCCCAATGCGTAGAATATTTCCCATCACCCCCCACCCCTATCACCAATGATACACTTACTGAGATTTTGATGATCTTGTCAAAAACATGCACTTGGGGTCCAATGAAGTCGAAGACAAAGTACTATAAAACATGAAATTCATTTTGACAATAAATTCCAGATTTGCATCTAAGAAATTTATTACCAGAGTAGTTGAAGATTTCTGTCATTCTAACCAATTGCTGCGTGGCCCTCAGTGGCATGAATATACCATCAACTGATCGGTCATCTCCTGTTTAAGGTCACCTAAGTTCTTTTTTCTTTCAAATGAAACAAATGCTGTCACCCCATCTTTGCCCAGGATATACGTGATTTTTCCTCTAAAATGGACATAGAAAGTGGAATTGTTGGGTCATAGCTTAGATGCATGTGAATTTCTAATAGATAGTGCAAAATTTCTTTCCAAAGGGGCTAAGCTATTTTATATTCTCACCACCAGCATATGAAAATTCCATTTCTCCATACCCCTGCCAACCCTTTATATCATCTATTCTCTTACTTTTTTTGCCTATTAATAATGATGGGTGAAAAATCATATCTCAATGTGGTTTTAATTTGGGATGAACTTGGTTAAAATCTAATTTCCTCAGGATTTTTCAGTGTCAAACACTGCTGTGATATACCCAAGACTGACCAGGAAGAAAATGAAAAGAAATTATGGACAAGGAAGACTTCTAACTTTAAGAAAGTGTTTGAATTTTATTTTTTCTAATGTTTATTTATTTATTTTGAGAGAGCAGGGTGGAGGCAGAGAGAGAGGGAGTCAGAGAATCTCAAGCAGGCCCTGCACATCAGTGCAGAGTCCAATGCAGGGCTCAAAGTCACAAACCATGGGTATGACTTGAGCCAAAATCCAGAGTTGGACACTTAACCGACTGGGCCACCCAGGCACCCCAAGAAGTGATTACATTTCAGAGTTGAAGAAATTAGCTAGACCAGTCTCTCTATTCTACACATAGAAGAAGACTGAAGCCCAAAGGATTTAAAAGACACACCTACATTCAGACAGCTGGTTACTGCCAGACCTGGGAGCTTGGCCTATTTCTCCAGAAGTTATCACACAAGGGGGTTCAAATACTAGATGTTTCATGTTTGAACTTTACTGAGAACCTCCCAAGTGTGAAGTTGCATTCTCCTAAGATTTAGAATGCTGGAATGGTGTTTTGTCGTGGGTTGTGTCTTTTGGGGGACTAGTCGGGGTGAGAGAGGCAGGACCAGGAAGTTGCTTTTCATTTGTTTTTGAGCTTCATTGTGGAGAAATAACACAAGGACCTTAGAGATGAACAGGACAGTAGGAAAGGAAGAGCTGACTAGTCACAGCCTGCTTTTCCAGGGCAAAGCAGAAAAACCAAAATGTGGAAATTGAAAGATGCCATCACACACCATAAATAAGAGACCTTCAAAACAGCGGTCCTTAGTAATCAGTGACAGGTCACATTACATTCTGTGTCTTCTGTTTAAGAAAATGGGAAAACACATATGACATTTCAGGAAGTTTTTCATATATATATATATGTTCAAACTTTTAAAGAGTTTTATTGTTCATAATTTCTTTTATGTGGAAAACTCAGATGAAATTTCTTATTTTGAAATATGAGATGCTGTGAGTTCCTTGGACCAATAAATTAGTTCCAATGTTTGTTGCTTTCTGCTGCATTTCACATTTCAAACTCAATTGCCTCACACAGGTTCCCTAGACCTTTGGGCCACACACATTTTTTTAGCTGGAAAATATTCCCTAGTCCCTATTAACTGGTTCCTTCAAACACCTGATGGTCTTTGGCTTGAAAATTAGAGGCAAAAGCTGTAACAAAGGTTTTTACTGCAACTTCTATATTTTTACTTGAGTGTTTACTGATTGTACTTGGTCCCAACTTAATGTCATTTAGATCCAGGACTTGTATGCACAAAGAAAATACTAATTATAGCATTTAACAAACCTGTAGAGCTTTGCAGTTTTAAAGCATTTTCATATACATTATTTCATGTCACATCCATGCCAAAAGCAGTTATGGAGGGGGTAGAACAAAAAGGAAAAAGCTCATGGTAAAAGGCTTAGAGACAGGAGTGATGGATGATGAGGAAAGCAGTTAACAGCTCAAATCTGATTTGCCCATTTTCTGTTTATTTCATTACCGGCAGTCTCCCTTTTCAATTACTACTCCCATTAGGGAAATAATTAAGAGCTTGCTGCATTTTTTGACAATTCGTGGTGTCAAAGTGCCTATGGGGAAACAAGCACTCTTGTGAGCTGTGAATAGGAGTATAAATTATTACCTCTTTGGAGAGCAATTTGTTGATATCAAAATTCTTAATACATATACTCTCTGCCTCAGTTATGCCACATTCATATAAGTAGTAGCCAGAAGCTGAAAAAAATTAATATCCATCAATGAGAGATTGACTGGTTTAGTAAATTCTGGTGTAGCAACGCAATGGGTAAACTACACCAATGAAGGGAAAATGAGATTGAACTATATGTCTTGATATTACTTCTAGGATACATTGTTTTGTGAAAAGATCAAGATCCAGGACAGAATGGACAGGATGCGACCATTTGGTTATAATATTTATTTGTACCCCCATACCTGCTTGGGATATTTCTGGAAGGCTACACAAATGCCTGGTGAGGATGGCTGCCTCTAGGTCAGAAAGATGGGGGCTTAGGGATCAAAGATCAGAGGCATGCATATTTTTCATCATACATAATTTTATACTCTTTATATCTTTTGCCATTTTTTACTGTGTGATCATTTTATTTTAAAAAACAGAATTTCGTGTGTAATATGCAGAAGCCTCCTGTCTCTCTTTGATGCTTTCCTCTCTTTGATGTTTGCAATTTTTGCACTGCTTGGGAAAATAGGACTGTTTTACATTCCAATGCAACATGCCGATTTCAAAACTAATAATTAAATTTCTAGTGTCTCTTTCACAAAAAGGAATGTTTATCTTCTTCATAACCAACAATCAATACATTTATTGAGTATAAAACCAGAGCTTATAATGGATGAAGATGAGCACATAAGAAAGAAGAATAACTTTAAAGAAAGACACAAGAAAAATGAGTATATTGAAAACACAGCAATTAATTTAACATCAGTAGGAATTCAGGGCGCCTGGGTGGCTCAGTCGGTTAAGTGTCTCAGTTCAGCTTAGGTCATAATCTCACAGTTTATGAGTTCGAGCCCCACATCAGGCTCTGTGCCAATAGCTCAGAGCCTAAAGCCTGCTTCAGATTCTGTGTCTCCCTCTCTCTCTGCCCCTCCCATGTTCTCACTCAGTCTCTCTCTCTCAAAAATAAATAAACATTAAATTTCTTTAATAAAATAAAATAAAATCAGTAGGAATTCCTCATCTCTCCTTTCCATTATCTTTTTGTGAAACTCTATGGGGTTGTTTGCAAGAGCCCAGAGAATTTGCCAGGGCTTAGATGAATAAGGAGGCACACAGCTTTTCTGTTTGGCTAAAGAACACCACAGATGGCAATGCAGGGAACGTTGGTAGAGAGGGTGTTTGTTGGTGACCTCTGTGACTTACTTCATTGTAAAATGGGCTGTTGGTTCCTTCCTTCACGGTGCTCTGCTTCTTCTCATCCCCAACCTCAATGATCACAACTGGATCAATGTTCTCACCCACCAGCTGGCGGGCCTCAGTGATGGTGATGGCAATCTACAACCCAAAGTAGCAGGTGAGCACTCCGGACCTTGCTGTTCCTTCACACAGGAAGAACCAGGCTGTCACCTACCTGATAGTTTTGGGATCTGATCTCCCCATCATGGATCTTAGTCAACAGTTTTGATCTATTAAAAGAAAGTTTAACATATTTGTTTCACTAACTAAGAACATATTTTGGATCCATAAGCCATAATAATATTTTCCCAGGTACTTCTAAGTGCTTTTATTTATACTGTAGCACATGTTCTCTCTCTTTATCTCTGAAAGAGACAAATGTAAATGAACAAGAGACTCAACCTCTCTATGACTCAGTTTCTCCATCTTAAAAATGAAGCTAATAGTAGCACTTACCACATGAGATAATGGCTACAATTAAATGATATAATGCATATAAAAGTTTAACCCAGTGCTTACTGAGAGTGTCAACTCTTATTGTGAGTGTGATTATCAGTGTCATTTAGTTTTGGTTTTACAAAATGAGAAACTCAGATATCTCAGCAAGTCAGTAGCAGAGCTGGGTCTGCTTGAAGATCTCCCTTATTTCCTGTCCGATCCTAACCACAGGACCCCTTTGCCATTTACAGTAGATATAACAATCCTGAGTTTTGTGATCGCTTTTGAAAGAATAGGTAAAAGAGAACATTGGAAGGAGCGACCAAGACGCTACCTCCGTGAGATTTCACATTCCAAGGGATTTCATTTATCTGGACTGTCACGATGAATTAGAAACAGATGCACGACACCTGGGCATTTAGAAATCAGATAATAGTAGAAAGAGGCAAAGGATCCCTGTTGTCACCAAGGCAGCAATGGGTGGGAAACGAACTGACCTAGAGTTCCTATTGAATCTTATTCTCCTGCTTTCTTACAGCACCATCTTGCATTTGACTTCATTCCATTTCTGCTGATTATAATTGAGTCCAGTAGAGAACAGAGTAAGCTAGTAAAAATCCCAAAGCTTTAGACTCAGACTGATCTGAACTAAAATATTTGTTTTTCCCAATGTTGTGATGTTACCCTTAATTTCCTCCTCTGAAAATGGAAATAATAATTCCTACCATGTGCTGTTGTTCCAAGGATGAAAGGAGATAATGCATATAGGGAAGGGTAGATAGCAAAAGGTATATATGTTCTTTAATAAAATGGCAAATTCACACTGATCATTTACTGTGTGAAAGCTCTGTGCTGGTCTCGGAAGAAAAACAGATGAATGAGCCATCATCCTGGCCCTTACAGAGCTAGAAATCTATCCAAGGGAGAGAGGACCAAAGCATATCAAGAAAGAACTTGTAAGTGTAAAATGTGTTGTAGAAAAAAAATGCCACAAGAGTTCAGAGACAAGAGAAATTCCAGAGAGCCCAGGTAAGTAACAAAGACTTCACTGCAGAGGTTGGATATCAATTGAGCGTTATTGGGTGGGTAGAATTGCAACTGATGGAGGAAGCACAGGGAACAAGAAAAAGTCTACTCCTCCTTATTTCTCTTTCTCCTGCCCCTCCTCCATGCAGTGCTGTTATTCGGGTGAAATCAATGGCAAGGGATCCCTTTAAGGATATTTAAAAGTAATTGAAATTCTGAGTCAGGGAGCTTAGGGGGCCGTGGTTGTCATGGTGCAGTAAAGGGTGAAGGAGATACTGCAGTGAGTATGTGTGTACAAATTTCATGTCTCCTTTAAAGAGTCAACCTCTCAGCTAGCACCATCTCTGATTTCCCGCTGTCTCCCAACCCCCTCTACCCACATATCTACTGTGTACTGTCCTGTAATAACAACTCGGTCTGCCATACAGGGAAGCACTAATTTGCTTTATTGATCGTAAGAATTCTGACTGGACAAAGAAGGGAAAGCAGGAGGAATTACCATGAGTAAGAAATAGACATAAACAAATATGGTAGATGGAAGGCATTGATAGCCCCAGGTATTAGCTTCCTTGGATCCTTCCTCTTGTTCTTATGACTTGTCTCTCACTCTGAATGGTCTGGACTTGTGACTTGCACTGGACAATAGAATGCAGCAGAAATGACTTTTGCTAATTCCAAGCATAAGCTCAGTAGACCTTATATACCTCCTCCTTCTCAGATGGAACTCTGCCATCACCACCATTGGACCAAGCTCAGATTAGCCTGCTGGAGGGTCTAACACCAGATAGAGGGAGCTCAGTGGTCCCAGGTGAAGCCATCTTAGACCAGCCTATCACCAGCCAACACTCTAACTAAAATCAGCAGAGCTACCAAGTGACCACACACACACAAGTGCAGATGTGTAGCAATGCAGAACCAGTGAAGCTAACCAAAAAGCTCACAGACTCCTAACCAACAATAAATTATTTACTAAGCCTCTGAGTTTGGAGTGTTACACATCAATTGCTAACTAACACAGCAAATCACATGTAGAAGGCCAGTTGTTCTGACTTTTTGTCGGATAGTACAAACATTTGGGACAGACACAAAGCTAAGACAGCTGGCACCTTGATGACTTAAAGAGCAGGTGAGAGACAGCTCCTGAGTCTGTCTCCTGTTGTTGCTGTCCTTCCTAAGTTATGAGGCACATAAAGACCTTAACTCAGGGGATTTAGGAGCAGAGGCTGGTATACCTGGCTTGCCAAAGGCTGACCAGTATCAAGAGGCCAGCATTGCCATGGAGGAAACTGAGTACATACAGACCTCTGTCTTCCTGCCTTAGACCTTTATTGCCTTGTAAACAGTGGTCAGTTATTATTCTCTGTTCCCCAGAGCATGCAGGGGTACCTGCACGTGGGAGGTGCTCAGTAAATGTGCGTTGACTGCCTGCACCAGCAATGTACCTTCTCTTTGGAGGAGCTGAAGGGACAGAGGTGACAGATGCATGATCATAAATCAAATCTCCTCTCAGTCCTTCCTGGTGAGAAGGCCCCTCCTGTGATGCTTCTGCTTCACCTTGGCCATCTAGAGAAGCAAACAAAGGAAGAAAACTGTCAAATACGATACACAGTGGTGATCTGAGCCTCAACTGTCCAGCACTATGCTAATTACCATAAGGCGGATGGGAAGACTATCAGACAGACCCTGCCAGCATGAAACTGAACATTTTATTGGCAGAAAAGACAGGCACGTACCTTAATTCTTCCTTAAAAAAAATTCATCTTCTGTTTCCAAAAAAGAGTAGATTTATATGCATGATATTATGGAAAGAAAACCGGATTATGAATTCAAAGACATGCTTTCAAGTCATGACCTTGCCACAGTGGAATTTCAGACAAGTAATTTATTCCCTCCAGACCTCATCAGTAAAATTTAATGTGCACAAGAATCACCTGGGAAGTTGTTAAAATGCAGATTCTGATTCAGTGGGTCTGGGGTGGAGTCAAGATTCTGCATTTTTAATACCAATGCCCCATGTTCCTGCTGTCCGGGGGCCAATTGGGAGGAGAACGGTGTCCTAGGTTGAATCATATTCCCCAAAGACATCGAGTCCTAGTCCCCAGAACCTGTAAATGTTACGTGGGAAAAGGGTCTTTGCAGATGTGATTAAATGAAGGATTGGAAATGAGGAGATTACCCTGGGTTAGACAGGTGGGTCCTAACTGCAATCATATGTATCCTTAGAAGACGGAGGCAGAGAACAGAAGAATTCGATGCGATCACAAGGCAGAGGTGGGACAGATGCCGTCATAGCCATCAGAGACACTAGAAGCAAGAATCGGATACTCCCCAGGGGGTGGGGCCCTGCCAATATTTTTATTTCCGCCCCGTGATACTGATTGCGAATTTCCAGCCTCTGTTACTATGAGAAAATTAATATGGGTTATTTTAAATCACCCAGTTTGTGGTAATTTGTTATAGCTGCCACAGGAAATGAATGCACAAGTGTCTAGAAAATTTAAATAAACAGATAGTAACCATATTCTTTAGATCTCTTCCCCCACTGAGGGATTCTGATTTAATTTATCTGGGATGTCACCTGGATGTCAAGATTTTTTAAAATTCCCCCAGGTGCTTCCTTTTCTTTTTAAAGTTTATTTATTTATTTTGAGAGGGAGAGACAGAGAATCCCAACCAGGCTCCACACTGCCACCTTGGAGCCTGATGCGGGGCTCAAACTCACACACGTTGAGATCATGACCTGAGCAGAGCCACCCCACAAGGACCCCAGGTGATTCTAATGTGTAGCAAAGCTTAAGAACCACCTCCCAGCCGGTTTTTTGGTAAGAAACAGGGAGAGTGTGGAATATTCTCTTGCACTAAGAGACTCTGCATGGTATAGTTCAAAACCCTGACCCCGGAGCTGGGTGGAAATCCCAGCTCTGCCACACTCTAACTTTATGATCTTCTCACAGCCCTTCTGTCCTCATATAAAGCAAGGCAAGGCCAATGTTACCTACCCCACAGAGATGTTTTTTTCTTTTTTTTTTTTAAACTTTTTTTTTTAATGTTTTATTTATTTCTAGTAGAGAGAGAGAGAGAGACAGCGTGAGCAGGGGAGCATCAGAGAGAGAGGGAGTCACAGACTGAAACAGGCTCCAGGCTCGGAGCTGACAGTCAGCACAGAGCCCGACGCGGGGCTCGAACCCACGAACCATGAGATCATGACCTAAGCGAAAGTCGGACGCTTAACCGACTAAGCCACCCAGGCGCCCCAGAGATGTTTTTTTCTATTGTCTATTTTCTTTATAGCACTTTTCTCAACTTGTAATTCAGTTACCTCCTGAGGTCCCAGTAGATAATAGAAGGCACCCCCCAGAACAGGAGGATTTGAGGATGTTGTAATTTACAGAGGTGTGGGTACAGGAAAATCAAAAAGGGTTGTGCAACTATCTGAGGCTCAGAGCAGCCGAAGCGTATCTATTTGGAAGACCCTTAAATGAAGAGAGCGAGCAGTTATCAGAACCTGGAAGGAGAGGAAGTCAGGTCCAGTTGGTTTCTCTATAAAGAGCACCAACCATCCTTCAGCTGAGAGGCACATCCAACCACAAACTCTGAGCTCATGCTCCTCCCTCCCTTGAACTTCCTGCTGGGCCACCCCACTGGAGAAGGAACCTGCATTACTCATCAATACAGGTCAGCCTCCTGGGGCTGTGAATGGGTGGAGAATTGATTTGGAAAGGCAAACAGAAGAGTCCTACACAGAGCCATCCCCTCTTTAAACTATCCAATGGTCACCATCATGTATCAGAATCTACCACAGGGCTCAGCACCCAACGGACCTTCCATTATGAGTAAATGCATGAATGGAAGATCATGGGAGGTACTCAATAACTTTGTTGGATAACTAATTAAAGGATGGGTTAGGATCATTGAAATTTTATAAAATTAAGACATAGCCACTGTGCCTCAAGTACACAGACATGAGAGCCACCGACTTTGAGAATCTTCAAATGCTTCCTCTAGAAGAGTCCTAACTTCCCAGGACAGGCCCAAAGGGAAAGACTGAAGTGTACTCAGTTCTATGGACTTTGTTTTGTCAGTCTCCCACAAGGCAAGCCCCTGGTCAGCAGGATGAATGCTGTTTACTTTCTAGGAGGGGCCTGAGTCCTTTCTGCCCTGTTTGCTTTCAGGGCTGAAAACTCTAATTAGAACAAGCCAGAGGAACCAGCTTCTCTGAAATGCCTGAGGCTGACTGCCCAAATCTCTACCACCTTGCTCTTCTTCCCTATGTGGTCACTTATAGGCTCCTAGCTGGAGGCTGACCTATGGAATAGGAAAACCCAGGCCCTTGTATAAGACTGACCTAGGCTCTGGAGCTGGCTTCTCCACTTATTGGCCGTGTGCCTTTGGTCAAAAACTCACCCTCTCTGAACATCTATTATAAAACAGGGGCAAAGAAGCCTACATTTCAGAGTCATGAATGATACGTGTCCAATAAAAACCAGCAAGGACTTGTTAGATGTGTCGTAAATATTAGTTTTTATAAGGTCCTGAAAGTAAAGGACGTCAACCTTGTGCCCCAGGACCGACTGTAGGGTCATAATTTCAAAGACACCAGGAAAGACCTAAAAAAAGCCTTTTCTACCTACTCCCTGACACCTTCCATTTGACTGAACAGATAAGTACTTCTTTAAGCTTTAAGTCCTATCCCCATTTAAAATGCCTCTCTCGGGGCGCCTGGGTGGCTTAGTCGGTTAAGCGTCCGACTTTCGCTTAGGTCAAGATCTCGCGGTTCGTGGGTTCGAGCCCCGCGTCGGGCTCTGTGCTGACTGCCAGCTCGGAGCCTGGAGCCTGTTTCAGTCTGTGACTCCCTCTCTCTGACCCTCCCCTGCTCACGCTGTCTCTCTCTCTCTCCTAGAAATAAATAAAACATAAAAAAAAAAAAATTTTAAATGCCTCTCTCATCCCATCCAACGATGACTTCATAGTTATTATCAACACTTTAGTATGAATGAGTTTCCATACATCTCCACTGTAATATTGGGTTCTGTGTGAGGGCAGGCAGTGAAGTTGGGGGAGAAAGACAGGAAGCCATAGGACCTGCAGTGGATGGCAGAGAAGTGTAAAGAAGGTCCCCCCAACGAGATGAGAGGGGTGAAGATAAAGTAGACCCATCTGCTTTAGAAATGGTCCAGAAAGCTAGCCTTGAACTGGTTGTTGTCAGGGCCACTCAGCAGAAGTCTCCAGAAGACCACTGCAGACCTGTCCATTGGAAGCAGTTAATCCTATTTGACTCAACAAACAAATCCTACCTGATGCCAGGCCTGGCCCCACTGGCATGGCACACACTGTAAACTGGGGATTTATTTGCTCTTTTGAAGAAGCCAGCAGCCCATTCTGAGGGCAAAAAGTCTGGCAACCAGGACCTACACCCCAATGCCATTGCTTCCTGGCTCTGGGCTCCCAGTCTGAGCAGCTTGCGGGGTCGGTGCCGCCATGCCTTGGTCCCAGGTCCTGTGATGGGAAGGACCTCATCGCACTGAGCTCAGCACTCTGCTATTGCCATCCACAAACTCTTAATAATCTCTTAACCGTGGCTTTGCGGTCTTGTTTTCCACTGGGCCCCGCAAATTCTGCCACTGTCCCTCCCACACTTGACTTACTCTCCCTGCTTCTCTGCAACCTCATTTGTAAACCTGGGATAGCAACGCCCACTGCTGAGATGATGGCAGGGTCAAATGAGACAATAAATGCAGAGCCTCCCCCGTAGCAGCTGCTGTCCTCAATCTTATTTTTAAAATCTCACTGGATCCTCCCCATGGTGTGAGGTCAGCCCAGCAACCCACATCGTGCCCGCTTAACAAAGGGAGAAACAGAGAGGATCAGAGCTGTGCGGTCACTTATCCCAGGCTGCAGAGCAAATCAGAACAGAAAAAGGAGCTTGGACCTTGTCACTGCCTCTCTCTCCTGGGGGTCCCCTTCCATGGCCCAGTAGGTGTCCACCCCACCCCTGTTGGGCCCAGTGACCAGGTGACCAGCGGCACTGGGGCAGATTGCACCTGTGACCAGCAGGGCCTGAAGACCTAGCAGGTAGCACCACCCCCCCACCTCACAGATGGAGAGCTCCATTCTCAGCCAAGGAGGGGTCAACTCTGTGAGACCTGCAGCCCCCAGGGTAGTGCATTGTCCCTGGCCCCAGGAAGCCTCACCTTGGGCAGCCTTATTGGCTAGGGTTAACCCCTTCTCTGCTTTCTTCTTCTTCTTCTTCAGCTTGAGCCCGAACATCCCCTTTCTGAAAAGAAGAAGAAAAACTAAACAACACTGTAATAGTAACTGCGGGTCATTCAGACATATTAGGTGAACACACACACACACACACACACACACACACACACACACACACACACTGAGTTCTTCGGGAAGCTGACCAGCCTCCTCTTTCACCCTGGTGCACGGGGATCAAAAGACAAGTCAGGATGAACCAATAAGGTCTACCTTTGCGGAAACCATGAAACCTCACCAGAAATCACGAGGTCCACCTAGACCTTGAATGACACAGAATACGAGTATCAGTACCACTGACTGGTATTTTACCATGTCTCCTCACTTACCTGTACCAGGCACTCAAAATGAATGACATCACTTAACCAACACAGCAACCCCCTCTCACTCACCTTACAGATGAAGAGCCAAGGCCCAGAGAGGGTAGGTAGTATTTCTAAGGCCACACAGCTCTGAGCATCAGACGTACCCAGAACCAAGGTCTGTCCGATTTCAGAACCCAGGCTCGAACCACCGGGCAGCCTGAGCAGGTTCCCCTGAGCACAGTGAACACATTCTCCAGAGCCAGGCTCCCATACTTCTTCCAAGGTCGAGACCCTGGGATTTACAGAAGTCCTACTGCAAGTGCACAGCTCAGCTGACACTGATGGTGTGTGCCTGGAATATTAGCTTCTATATTATTATCATTATTAGCTGTGAGTGGAAGCTACTTGAGCCTCCTTCTATCCCAGGAAAGAGCCCTGCTTCTCCATCTTAAGAGACAACAGAGCATTCTGGAGACTCCTCCTGAGAAAGCCCCTTTCTAAGGGACTGAACTTAGGACAGTGTGATGGATGGACCCAGTTCAGAAGGAAGTCCTGGCCCGGAGTCAGGCAGGCTGGTGAGCTGGCCCCCCAGAGGATGGAGAAGGAAGAATAAGGAGAAGGGAGAAGGGAGGCGAGAACAGCAAAGCCCCACAGGGAACGTTCTGCAGTCCCAGAGCAACGTGAAGAGAGCGGAGGGCTGTCCGGTGTGCTGCTTATGTATGTAGGACTCGCGGGGGGCTCAGAGCAGGGACTCCGCATCAGACTGTCTGGGTTCTAGTCCCCATGCTCTCTGTGCAGGCTGACCTTCTCTGCACTTTTAGGGTCCTTATGTGTGAGACAAGATAAGAAATGTAAAGCATTTAGCACAGTACATGGAACGTACTGGTTGCTCAATAAATGTTAGTTATTCTTGTTATTCTCATAAAGCATAGGATTAAGACCAATGAATGGAAACTACTAGGTGACAGAAGTTCACTCTATTTATTAATTTACTTAGGAGTGAGTTCCCTATTCTTGGAGGTGGCAAGCAAAGGCCCGGGGACCATTGGAAAAGGATGTCGTAGGAAGAAAAACATCAGAAGAGAGGGGCTGGTCTATGGTATCTCAGGGGTCCTTTAAGACTCTGAGATACAGTAGAATGGAAAGAACAGGCTCTGGAACCCCGCAAGACATGGATGGATTGGGCAAGTCATGGTACTTTTCTTTGCCTCAGTTTCCCCATGGGTACAAGTTTTCCCCATGGGTACAAGAAGTAAATAATAACGTACCTACTTCATAGAATTATGAGAATATAATGAGGTGAAGTCATCAAAGCACTGAGAGTGGTGCCTGGTACACAGAAAGTGCTGAAATGTGCCTTTTGTGGAGGTAGCATTTTCCCCTCTTTGATTTGCTATCATCTGTGATGCAAATCATTCTAAGTCTCCCGAGAATCTCAGAGGAACATACACAAGGAGGATTTCCCTCTTCTGAAGTTTCTTAAGGCAACTTCTAGTAACTTTCCTGTTTTTCAAAAGAGAGTTACCAAACAGAGGGCCCAAGCCAGTACCTTCCAAACTCTGACTTGCCATTGTGGTCTCCAATGGCTCAATGCCATGATCATTTCATGGAGGCAGATTTGAAAAGGCTGAATTACTTCCATCAGCAGTCAGGAAGTCACTACTAATAAATGACAGTATCTACCATGGGGAGACTTGATGTTCCTTTAAGAAGCTGACATCCTCATCACAGATGGCCTCGGCATTCTGAACCTCCCATCAGGCAGCTGGTGACGGAGGCACTGAAGCATGCCCAAGGTTGCTAGAGAGGGCAGAAGAGAAACAGACAGATACCCCTGCCCCTCTGAAGCCAAGATCTCTTGGTCCCGCTGACCATTAAGGGCACCTCAGGAAGTTTAAAACATACAAATGTCTGGAGCCACTTTCAGAGATTTGTAATTGCTTTGCAGAAGACCCAGTGCTGAGAAGCTCTTTCCTAGACACAGCTCAGACCCAGCCACCAAGGAAGCAGGAGAGCCTTTCAGTAATGCCCAGCAGATTTACAACCAGCTCAGCTCCCCCCGGATGGCTTGATGTTTGTTTCGCAAACGCACAAGGTTGTTTGCCTGAAACCCTGAGTCCGTCATCAAGGGCACTCCCAGCATGACTCCCAGCATGAAAGACTTCTTGATGAAAATTGATTTTTCCTCCTCAGCCCCGTGACATCTGCAGTAGAGAGAAGGCACTGCTCACCAGCCCAGAATAATCGGCCACTGTCAAATTGAGCAGCAGAGTGAACCAGCGACAGAAGACAGCTCATGGGCCTGCATGCTTGTTGCCTCTTGCACTTAGGACCAGCTACTTAACCCAGATGAGCATGTTTCATTCCCACGTGATACAAGGACATTTCTTACCCAATTTATAGAGTGGCGTTAAAATAGGAAACAAGACTTGCAGGGGTGCCTGGGTGGCTCGGTCGGTTAAGCATACGACTTCGGCTCAGGTCATGATCTCACAGTTCATGGGTTCGAGCCCCACATCAGGCTCTGTGCTGACGGCTAGCTCAGAGCCTGGAGGCTGCTTCAGATTCTGTATCTCTCTCTCTCTCTGACCCTCCCCTGCTCACACTGTCTCTCTCTCTCTCTCTCTCTTTCTCAGAAATAAAAATATTTTAAAAGATTTTTTAAAGACTTGTAAAGTGTAAAACATGCTGCAAAATACTGTTACGGCATTGATGACAAGGAAATGTGCTGCATTATTCCCCTGAGTGAGCTCAGTATTTTTTAAACATGCATTAACACTATGTGCCAGGAGCACCATTTTACACACACTGTCTCCTAGGATTCTCACCACAGACTGCAAGACGGATGCTATCATTACCCGGTTTCACAAAGAAGAGGTTGTCAGGGTTTCCAGCCAATATAATGGGATCAGCCAGTAAATCAGGAAGTAAGCCCCCAGGGCAATGGCCGTCAACCCCCCCCTTCTCCTTCTCAGCTTGCCGAAGATTCCAGCAAGGGAACCCTCCCACTTTACAAAAGGGATGGGGCTCTCTGGGATCACATCTATTGAATCTCCTCCCAGGACCACCCCACGGTAAGTCAAGACACATAGAAACCCCTATACCAACCTGGTCTCCTCGGGGTGAAAGCTACCATGACTCCGATATCTGTATCCAAACAATAAGAGTGGGTATGTTAAACAGTGGGTGTGTTAGGCTTTTGCTTCAACACATCTATTCCAGGTGGGCATCAATCCGTGTTGAACCACAGGGCCAGCACTGTGGGGAGGCAGCCAGCCTGGCACACAGAAAGAGGGGCTAGACAAGTAGAGTTTGCGTCTCACGTCTACCATTTTCTAACTGTGCCGGTGGGGCTGGGGGAAGTCTCTGAGCTCAGGCCCTTCTTCTGCAGGAAGAGGCAATAAAGTTAACTCTGCTTTTCTTGTAGGATGTTATGTGTTATGACCCCCTTCACTGCTCGTGCTGAACTGTTAGGAGCTCTACAAATCACTAATTTAATCTCATGACCATGGCTCACTGGACATGGGTTAGGAAATGGCTCACAATGAGGGTCTCCATGTGGTTTTCCACTTGCATCACAAAATTCCCCTTCTGGAGTCACCTGTTCTACCTTTGATGTGGAAAAGACACGAAGCTAATTGAGTCAATGCATTCGTCCAGTACCAGCCCCTCCTGCTCTCCTCTCACTTCAGAGGACACAGGATACGGGTCATCTGTGTGCCTGACCTTCCAAACCCAGAGTTATATAACATCCAGGATGGAAAAAACAACTTTGATTTGTGAAATGACTTTATATGGTAAACTCTTGTAAACTTTAAAATTCCTTATTAAAAGAATGGCTTTGTATGTAATAAGGAGTATCTTAAAAATAAAGCAAAATGAAGCCTTACCACCATTCTGAGGTCATCCAGAAAGCCTTGGATAAATTCCCAGTTGCCTACTGAGAAAAATACCTTCTTGGGAATATCTGATCTGTGTACTCATCTTACTTTTAAGCCTGGGATATATTCATTAAAGGCAAACCACCAAATATAGAAGTAGCCATGACGTTGGGTTTTGACTGAAGATTGTTAAAATATAAGTCCATGGGACTTCCTGCCTTGCCAAGACCGAAATGTTTCTTCCTCTCTCCCATTAATCTTCTTATAGCAACTTACCTGCTCTATATCCTATTTGTTTAGCTAATGATGCTCAACTCTGGCTGTATGGGGCGCTTTCTAAAACTGTCTTCCACACTGTGGCCAGATCCCATCCTAGAAAGTCTGATTTCCTTGGTCAGCAGCAAGGCCAACGGCTTGGTAGTTTTCAGGTTCCCAAGGTCATTCTAATGTGAAGTAGGGTTGCAAATCCCTGTGCTTAAGTAATCAGAGCCAGTGAGCTCTCCTCCAAGGAGAAAGTGTCTGTTTTTTAAAGGAAGTTCAAAGGGAAACTTTTAATCCAAGGGGACCAGTGAAACTTAGGAAAATCAGAGCACTTGATGAATATATTTGGTATGCTGGACTTTATCATCCTACCCCAGCTCATCTTCCACTCAACCCCCATCCTGACAATTAGCCCACAGAATTGGTTGCCTTCTCTACTCGGCACAGAATCAACCCAACCTTGTAGGAACTGAGTTCTTCAGTCTGAGAGGGAGAGGATCAGTCCTCTATTTGAGTCCAAAGTGTCCCAGACAATGGCCTAAAGAGATTGAGCCCT